TGAGCGAAGAAACTGGATTAAGTGAGTACGTACTGGCTCTCGAAGATTAGCTCCAATGCGCAAAGGTTTTTCACGAGCCGACTCATCCAGATAAATGACCTAGACATCTTCAACAGGTTCCGCTCGAATATATTGACTTTTGTCTTTAAATTGTAGCCTTGGGTCTATATCATCTTGAGCTTGAACGACCTCTTTGCCGGGACTTTGTCCTCGATCTTCAACATGTTTGTCATCAAGTAATTCTGACGTCATAGGGACGTCGGTATCCGGCACATGGGTAACCATCACGTCGGTATATGACAATGTGGAGTCGGGGGCGTACGATTGATTGTGATTGTTACGTTGTTCGGATTCAATCACGTGAGCACTGCGCGAAGCTAAAGAAAAAGCTAAGTTGCGCGCTTCCCGTTGATCTCCATAATGGGTTCCTTCTCCCTCAACCGTAGGGAACTTCAAGGCGTAATGAAAGTTAAAAATGGCAGCTCAGAGTTTATAAAGAGCGGTGCGACGCACAAAAGCGTTATATTCATTCTGAATATTCATGACTTTGAAAGTTTCCATGATGACCTTTAATTTGGGCCCAAAACCTCTGAACCGGATAGGGAGTTGAATCTCACCGATGGGACAGGAAATGCTTCCATTGAAGCCTTGAATTTGATCGTTGCAGGGTCGGATGTCAGCTGGGTCAAACCGCATTTTTTCTAAAGTTCGCAGCATGAGAATGCTTGAATAGGCCCCGGTGTTAACCATAATTCGGTGAACAGGAATCTCTCCGATCGGAGCGGTGATGATAAGAGCATCCGAATGTGGGTGAGCGAACAAAGTAGCGTCTTCTATATTGAAAGTGATGGGACAATTCCGATTGTTGATAGTATCCCTAAGATCAACATTGAGTACCTGCTTTCCAGCATTTTGCGCTTCTCGGACATAAGCTTTAGCTTTACGTCGGGAGATGTCAGATTGTTTGGTATTCGTGTTCACCCGAGGTATAAGATTATAGTGAGGAGACCTCGATGAAGTACCTGTTCTGGCTTTCTTGCCCTCAGCAGTTGAAGCTCCAATAGTCTCTGAAAAGATGAAAACTTCATTGTCGGTCGTGCGGATTCTTTTTGCATTAACACCTCGGTCATCATTGTCTTCTTCATCCAAGGTGCCTACAGGCCTTCCTTTGCGACGGGCATTGGCATCAAAATTCCTGAACTTCTGAAGTTGAGGCCTTCCAATTAGACAAAGGAGGACCGACAACAAAACGAGACACTCATCGGTGTTGTGTCCCGGAGACTTATGATATGCGCAATAGCAAGTTTTATCAAGCTTTTGTTCGAGGGTTCTGACAGGCTTTGGATCAGGGATGATCCCTTTTCCCTTCAACTCTTCAAAGATAGTTGTCGCTCTTGCTGAATAGACGGTTTGATAACCTGTTCTTACATTCTCGGCGTATTGGTCTCGCGCAGCCCTAGAATCCGAGGCGTCAGCACTTCCCTTTGAATAATTTCAGAATTGGGACTTGCCGAAGTTTTTTTTTTATTCTTCTTCTTGATTTGGGGTTCCGTCTTATCTTCCTTGATGGAAAAATAAAAGTTGGGAACAGACATCGACTCCTCGGCGATGATGAACTGTTGGGCGCGTACTAGAAATTCTTGAAAAGTGCTCGATTTATTTTGGCATAAAGTCCACCGAAATACAGAATTCGGCCTTAGCCCAGCTATCGCGGTGACCAATAAGGTCTCGGGGTGACAGGGTTCCATGTTTTGGATGCGCTCATTAAACCGAGAGACGTAATCTTTGATAGTTTCGTTGTCCTTCTGTACAATATTAGTAATTGACTCTTTTTGGATGATGCAAACTTGAGCGCCGATGAAATGTGACCGAAAAGCTGTTCTTAACTGTTGCCACTTCCATATTGAGTGCGGTGGCAAAGTATAATACCATTTTTGTGCTCTCGGTCCAAGAGTAAGAGAGAACATGCGACAACGTAACGCATCGGATGCTTCATGCAGATCCATCCATGACGTGTAATGACCCAGATGAGCATCAGGATATGAGGTCCCATCATACACACCAATCTGTGGGATTTTTATTTTGGCAGGAAGCACCTCCGCAGTAAGCTCGGGTGCTAGAGGGGAATCAGCTTCAATAATTACATTACCCGAGGTTGAGACATGTCGTGGAGTCTCTTCCTATGATTTTTGTTTGGTTTCGAGTTCAGCTAATCGTTTTCGTAAAGCTTCCAGTTCCTCCGAACCCTGTCGAGACACACGATTCCGTTCAATTTGATGGCGTAAATCCTCACGTTCTGCTGGCAAGGGAGACATAAGCCTTGGAGGTATAGGAGTTCTGTGATGGTGAGCGGAGTGACTTTCAGCTGTCATCTCCTGATTTCGTGCCGCACCAGTATCGGGATTGCCAGGTGGTGGATTTGGAGTTGGTCGAGTTAATTCTTCACGATGCTGGGATGCATGACGTGGTTGAGAGGTAGCATGTGACGCCGCTGCATGAGTAGTTTGATTTTGCGCGAAGGATTTTGGTTGTGCCACCGTGGTTACCAGCAAAGGAGCTTGTATGAAGTCCGGATTGGGCAACGTATTGGGCAACGCTCGCTCCATAAGTGATGTTAGACCTTGTATGAAGTCCAAATTTTGAAAGAAGTTTGTGAAATCCGCTGTGGTCTGTGCTTGCGTCGTATTCCCAGGGGAGTAATTTATGTTATGACTGTGTCCAGCATGTGAAGTACGATCTCGTCCAGATTGAGACATGATGCTAAGTAACACGGGTACCTAACAGTCGAATTTGCGCAAGTGTTGGCTATAAAGCCAAGATTAACCTCAAACAATTAGGTGGCCCTCCTTCTAGTGCCAAACTGTTGTCATGTGTAAATGAACAAGGGTATTATATTAAGTGATTAATTAAACGACAAGCAATTTAACGTATAGTGAACGGAAAAGACGTCGGTTTCATGTATGGGCGACGTCGGAATTTATTGAATATTCGTAGTGTTTGTTCAACATTGCGTTACAATATTCATCAGGGTCAAAAGTCCCTTTTTTTGAGGATCCAACCCGTTATTTATAAGACGGTGGTCCACCATACGAGGTAGGTGTGATCGCATTTAATGTGGCGGTGAAGTCAAAGGCGGTCGTTTGCCACCTAGATTGATTGTTCGCCACCTGGACGACATTCATGATGAAAGGATGAGCTGTCACCGCCTTGGGACGGTAATTACCTCTTTGTGGACGTCGGTTGACTATGTTCTGACTGGCGAGAGACCTCGGTTAGAGTGACAAAGGTGGCTATTTTACTGTTTATTCGCCAAAGAATGACGTCGGTTTTCATTACGTTGTTCCTGACATGATAGTACTTGAGATCTTCGAGTTTACTGAAAATCATGTCAACAGTCGGCTTGCTCCTTTGTGCAATGGTCCGAGATCTCTACGAAATATAACACAAAATAAGATCACAAACTATTTGTAATATACATAGCATAAAAGTCGAATTATATATATAAATAAATAAACGAAGAGCTTCCATTTTAACTTTCTTTTACTTAGTATGAATATATCTTCAATATATTATTTTGAACTTGTTGTCAAAAATAAAATATTTCAATATTTAATTATTAATGTAAATAAAATGTAGATCAATTAGAATTATAATTTGCTAAGCAAAGGTCTAGAATCTAGATGCCAAATCTGCGCGTTTTCCCCCTGTATTTTAAAAATTGCGCCATACCCCCTTGTAATATACTTTTGCATGCACACTCTCCCTGCTACGTTAACGCCGTTACAAATCCTCCTGACGGCGTTACTTTTTGTTCAATTTATCATTATAAAATTCCTTTATCCAAGAATTTACGATTATGCCATCCAAGAATTTACGATTATGCCATCCAAGAATTTACGATTATGCCATCCAAGAATTTTATATAATATTATATATAATATAATATTATTTATATATTATATGTAACAGTTATTATAAATTTTATATATAATATATTATATATATAATATAAAATATATATATATAATAATCGTAATATATATATTATATTATAAATATAATAAATATATTATTTTTATATTATATGTAACATATATATATTATATTATAAATATAATAAATATATTATTTATATATTATATGTAACATATATATATTAATC